TGTATTTGGGGGGTTAATATGTCTTTGGAGGGGGTCAGTGGGTCTTTAGTATTTATTTCACACTCTTTAACAATAAGGTATTTTCCAGTTGGACTTTGAATAAGGTTCCATGGTATATTGCAAATTTCTATCTCAAGTTAATAGTCTACTTCCCAAAGAAATTCTCAGCAGCTAACACCCTTTCATCATCTTGCTCTTTCCCTGATGGTTTGAGCTTGTTGCTTCTTTTGGTAAATACACATTTGACACAATGCACTGGGCAGCTTCTGCCAAGTGCCACTGAATCTCACTTCTTCACTTGCCTTGAGGTAGTTGTGCTTTAAGAATCTGGCTGTTCAGATGCCCTGAAATGTCTAGAGTATTGCAATGGGAAGAAGTCTGAAGATGGGCTGTTTGGCACACATGAAAAATTACCTGGCCAGAGAGTCATGGAAATGTAGGTGCTGCTCAGTAACGCCCCTTGACTGGTACAGGCACTCCTGATGAGGTTTTCCTTCCCCTCTCTGATTCCATTACCACTGTTTTGTACAGACTCCTTGTGGGAAGATTTTGCACTGTACAGTTTGATAAGTTAGTACAGATGTGTGTTTGCAGGTGTCATGGTTTGAAACCCCAAAAATCCAATTTCCAAGCCCCCCTCTCACAATTTGCTTCAGTGTGAGAGGGTTTTCCAGACATAACACATCTACTAGCATGGGGAAATTATATCAAAATTTATTACTAACAATAAATACTATAATACATTATATACAACAATTCTAACTATCTCTCCTATGGTAAAACAATATATATATATATATACATACAGATCAAATCCCTCCTTTCCCTCCAAATAAAAGTTCAGAAAGAAAAGAAGAGAATCGCTTTCAAGGCAGCACAATCTTTTCCAAGCAGCAGGTTCACTCTGTCGTAACTGGAAAATATCTCTCTCTCTCCATTACAACACAGGGGTTTTTCTCTCACCCCTCGTCCCTTCAGCTCCAGTCGAAGGTCTCTCTCCTGTGGACTGCGAAAGCAGGGACAAGTTTTGCCTCTCCACAGTCATATCACAGGGTACTAGGCATCCATGACAGTCCCTTCCTCAGGGGATTCAAGTTCTTCTGAGTCAGAACGTTTAGGGCTTTCAGTTCAGTTTTCGTTGATGGAGAGGTACAGAGACAAAGCAAACAATCAATGTGATCAAAGCAATGTCCAATTTATTATTAAAATCAGCTTACTTTTATACAGTTTAGTTTGTTCAGGGTACATGCTCACAACAAGGTGATTGAATAGCTCAGTCAGTGCACGCATCTCACGCTTTTAGTTTATTGGACCTGGTTCTTTGTCCACGCGGCCTAAGATCATACTTGGCATGCGAAGCCTCTTGTCCTGAGATCTGCAGGTGTTTCATTATCTCCAGTTTCTCAAGGTTTTCTTACTATAAACATTACGTTCTCAAACCTTATAATTATAAACACATGGTTAACAAGTATAAACATCGCATATTTTCACACAGCTTGCCACTTCTGAAATCATGGCAAAGAAGGTCTACAGAGTGCAGGAAAAATTGTTCAGAGAAATCTCTCTGTTCTGGCCACAGTTTTTGCCCCAAGCATTCTACCAGAGTTCCTTTGCTCCATCTCAAACTGCCAGCATGGCAAACGGGGGGGAAAGGGAGGCCACTTTCCCCCGCATTCCTTCTGGCCATCCTGGTCCAGCTCCAGGACATCTCTGCATTTCAGGACTCCCTTCAAATGGAAGTCCACTCTCTCCTTCCAAAAGGGGTCTCAAGGGTTTGGGGAAATAAAAGCCAAGTCTCACCCCAAACAGTCTCTACTGAGCTTGGTTCTGTGTCTCTCTCCGTCAGACAGCTCTGTGTCTCTCAGCTTGGTTCCATACCATCTTTGCTGCTTCCTTCTTATCTTCTTGGCTTTCAGCCACTGCTCTCTGTTCAGTGCTGCTCCGCCACCGTTTCAGTGTCTCTGGTTGTCCACTCACGGCGAAGAAACTTCCCCCAGCTCTTGGCCACAGTACTCGGCCCAGTTTAACACTGTTCCGAGTTTCTGCAGCCCCAGTCAGGGCTGGGCGGCCTTGGCCCCCAGTTGGGCTCCCTGGTCCCTCTCTCCTCGTGGTCTCAAAACATGGCTACGTCTCCTCCAACTACGTAATCCCTCTTCTTTTCCAGCCTGTTGTGATATGTTCAATTTTGCAGGGGCACTGATTGGGTCAACACCAAGAACACCACTCCCTGGAGTTATCCACTTTCCAACTCCAGGGGAAACCCCTTTTTAACCCATGACAGCAGGCATGTTCTTATTCTGTATTCCCGGATAACATTCAGTAAACTGATAAAGGGCTTGAGTTTTTTTTTCCCCTACAGTACTATTTTTATTTATTTCTACAGAACAGCTTGAGAAAATGAAGGTACACTTAGCCCCAGTTTACTTGCTGCTGTAAGCACTTAACCTTTTTTTCTTTTTCCCTCTCCCAAACTGATCAGTAACTGTAAAACCCAAGCTCAGGAAAGTGGTTGGAATTCCAGGCCCCAGTCTGGGGGAGGTGACACTTTCAGTCCCCAGGGGAAGAAGCCAAATGCTTTGTTTATCAACATGCAAAGGACAGCAGAGTATTTCTGGTTCTCCAAGCAGCAGTACTTGCAGGGAAGAGAACTGCTTGCTTGGATGAAAGATGGTTGAGAGAAAAGTAGTGATGGCTCACAGGGGGAGAGGAAAAACGTGTTATTTGGGGGTGTAAAGCGGGGGGGGGGATGACAAGCTAACGAGGTAGTGGAACCCATGGGAACAGGAAAAGTAGAGAAGCTAAGTAGAGAAGGAGGTTTTCAATTTTAAAATAGTTAATTACATAATTTTAATGTTTTTATATATAATATTATATATACATAGTCAAATTCCGGCCCGCCCGCCCCCTCCCCTTTCCCCACAAAAACAACTCGCAATACTATGAAAAATTGAGTTACTCGGAGGCTCCGGCAGGCTGCGCTTGGCGTTATTATTGTTTGTTTTCCCCCGGCGCCGAGCAGTTCCAAAGGTCAGGGAAGCGGCGGCCAGGACAGCGCGCCGGGAGCCGAGCCCGGCTGCCGCCCCGGCCAAACTCCGCAACCGGCGGTGGCGGCGCAAACTTCAATCCTCTACCTCTGCGGGCAACCCTTCCCCGGGAGCCTGCCAAGGGACCCGCCGAGGTTGGGGCCGGGCGGGAAGGCGAGCAGGGAGGGACAGGGAGGGAGGGAGCGCGGGCAGCCCCGCGCCGCGTCCGGCGGCGCGGGCACGGCCCGGACTCTGTCCCGGCGGCCGCCGCCGCCTCAAGCCACTGCCCCGCCCCCACCCTCTGCGCCCGGCGCCTGATTGGCCGCCGCCCCACCAATGGGCGGCCCCGCCGGGCCGGGGGAAGCAAATGTCCCGCCCTGCTGCATATTCATGACTCGGGGCGGGGCTTTGAGCCCTCGATCTGTCGTTCGCACGCGCGAACTGTCGGTCCCCGCCCGTGCCGAGTGCGCGGGGTTGGCCCGCGGCCTTTGCTGCTCCCCGCGGGGCGCACGGAGGGTTTGTCGCCGGGCGCGCATGGACTGGGGAGAACTCTGCCCGCCGGAGCCGCTCTCTCCGCACCGCGAGAAAGAGCAGGTACCGCTCCCCGCCCCCAGCTCGGCGCCGCACGCCGCCTGCCCCAAACCGTGCCGGGCGCCTCAGCCGCGGGAGGGAGCCCGCGCCGCGCTGGGGCCACGCCGGGAGCGGCCTCGGCGCGGTGGCCGCGGCCGGCGCTGGGTGACCGCCCTGCCCGGGGGGGCGGCGGGTGGCACTTGGCGGGGTCCCTCCGCTCCTGCTTTTCCCTGCGGACACTCTTAAAGGAGCCGCAGGTCTTGGCTGGCAACTCGCAGGTACCTGGCGGAGCGACCCAGGGCAGTGGGAATTTACGCCCACTGACCCGTGGGAGCTTAATTTACCTCATTACAGGGGTGCTTAGGGACAGGAATGCACCTCTGCTTGGGAGCCCCCTGCAAAGTGTCCACCCAAAAACACAGTGACCCTTCAAACACAGCTGCTCACCAGCCAGAGTGCTGTTTGAAGCTTAGGACTTTTAAACAGTGATTTTGAATGGAATATGTATTTGTGTGTCTTTTTAATGTAAGCATGTTTTGTTTCTTTGTTTCAAGTATAGATAATTTTTAAGTATGTGTATGGATATTCTTTAGCCCTAATTTCTTCATTTGGAAGAAATTTTTCATTTTTTATTTTTCCTGAAAAACTGAGATCCTTTGATCTGGTATAAACTATGAGTAAAGTGGGAAGAGTTTTTCTGAGGTTTTTCTCAAATAGCAGGCTTAGGGAAAGAAGGGCCTCAGGTACTTTGGGGGAGCTGTGGAGAGCTGAGCAGGAAGGCTGTGCCATCCTGCCATCACTGTGCACAAATATGGAAAGATGAAAGAGCTTCGGGAAGCCCTTCACGTCTGCAAAGGGTTTAGTCTTTTTTAACAGCTTACAGGAGATGGTGGCTCTGAGCCTCCTCCCCTTCCAATTCAGCTTTTGGTACAGTTGTTTGCAATGTCTTAGGTGTTGAAGGACACGGTGAACCAGATCTAGGAGTTTGTTTTCTGCCTCTTTCAGTTGTTCCTGTGTTGTGCAGAGACCTTGCTTGTTGGAGTGCTGGGGTCTGTTCTTGGCAGCAATGACAAGGCCGAGTGCAGGAACAAGGAGGTGTTCTGGTACAAACCACTTGTCTGAAGTAAGCAATGTCTTTTAGGACTTTCTGGGTATCTGAGGCACCTGTTTAGATCTGCAGCAGACTTGCTGGTAGGCTACAGTAGGACCTGTGAGCAAGATGGAGAGAAAAACACCCATGAAAAATGGAAAAAGAGAGGCCTCGTCCACTTCTGCTCACCAATTGGGTCCCCACTGAGGCAGGCTGGGCAGGAATGGCATGGAATGATGGGACAGGGTTATCACTGTGTCACTGGCTGTCAGGCTGAACCTCTGGGTCTGCTTTTTCCAGCCCACTGAAAGCTGAGGTGAAGCAGTGAGAAGTGGCAAAGCTGCAAATTGCAAGTCAGCCCCAGCAAGACCTGCACTTTAAAAATGTTCTTCTGACATGTTCCTTGCCAGCAGCAGTAAGTTGCTTGGCTGGGAAGAGGGATAAAAACACCTTTGGTCTGTGTAAAATTCGGGTTGGGAAACTTGCAAGTACTCCTTGGCTTTTTATTAGAAGCAGTGAAAAATGTTGAGCTGCTGTGTTGTCTGTCTCATTGTAACTGTGCAAGTTCATTTTTGAACTGAATCAAATGTTATGTAATTACATACTTCTCCTAATTATTGAGTAATTATATGCTTCTTGTAATTGCCAAATAATCACTCTGCTATAAGTAGAATTTAATGTTACAACTAATTGTATAATTACTGTATATTAATGTTGTTATCAAGGCAACTTGGAGTAGAGTGTTATCCTTTTAATTCATATTCTGTTACTCAAAACTGTCTTTCTAAAATATAGTTAGCCATTGGAAGAAAGATTAATAATGAAATAAAAATATCAGCAGAGGAACCCTTCCAGGTTCAGGTGGATGAAAATCAAAATATTAACATGTTAAAACTGTACTGTAGATAGAAAAAGTTTAATTTTCTCATGAATTTGGCATCTAAATTGCTACTAGGCAACCCACTTTTATACTTATAGTTTGAATCTATCCTATGTGCCAGTCTGTCAACACTAACTTTTAAACTTTCTTCCACATTGGAGGGGAAATGTTTCAAAAACGCATCTTTTTTCCACAGCCAGCTGAGTCCTTAAGTGTTTCATGTCACTAGAACCTTAAGAATGTATATGTCCTATATACAGTTGGCCATTTCTAATGACTTTATTGTTAATAGAATAATGGGTGCATATGACAGTCACAGGTTATTGTGTGATGGTCACAAGTACTCAGTGGCAGACACTGGAGAAACTGTGATGGGTGACAGGAGAAATGTGCTTTGTTTGATGTACAATTGAAGAGTTGAGTTCAAGGACTGTGGATGCATTTTTGTGGTGCTGGTTGAGCAGCCTGGGTCCATCAGAGTGATGTCAGACAAAATAACTTTGCTCCTGCAGGATTCTGTGTGTGGAGTGTGGGAAACGTGGTGGTTCTTCTGGCAGGATAGGTTCTTCTTGCTGTGTCTAAAATGGGGTCTGGGGCTTGTGTAAACTTCAGGGAAATCCAAAGTGAATCCATCAGGCTCCATGAAACCATTCCAGCTTCACCCTGCTGGAGTCTGTCCGGGTGCTCTGGTGCTGTGGCAGGGGGTCACCCAGGGAGAATTGGAGCAATAAGGAACTGGGCTACAAGGCAGGTTTACAAAGAGTTTTACAAAACTGCCCCCCCTCCACAAAACCTCAGAAAATAAGTTTGTCATCTGTTACCAGAAGAAACACTGCAAACACCCTTTGTGCCACTCTGTGAACACCAAAATCATGGAATTGTGTGGACTTGTACTGTGAGTAAATCAGAGATTGTTTGTAGGAATCCCTAAATTAGAAGCAAATCCAGATCACTCCTCTGTGGTGAAATGTCCTGTGAGCAGGACTGAAATGTGCTGCACACACACGTTTTAGAGCACATCCTGGAAATATGGGAGACTGGAAAACCGTTTTCAGATTTAATAGCATTTCAGTTTTAACAGTTAATTTAAAACTTGGAATAAAAATGTGTAAATCCAAGAAGTTTTCCTTAAAAAATGAATTAAAACATTGATTTTCTGGGGTTTTTGTAATTCCATATTATCTAGGTTTTGTAGAGGGCTCAGGTGTGACTATTCAATCTGCTACCTGTGACAATGCCTGACTTCATTTACAATATTTTTAATAGTTATATACTGTTTAATCTCATTCTCATACCTGTGATCTTAGACTTGTGTGATTCTGCTGTTGTTTGTAACAGAGAATTTCCTTTGACTTCCCTGTGAGAGCTCTCCATGGAATGATGAACAGTAGTAATAGTATTAATCATTTATATCGTGCTTTATATGTTCGAAGTACAGGATAATCTTTAAATGATCTCAGCTTTGCTCTCAGATATGTGAGTGAACTCTTCTTTGGTTTGAAAAAAATTGTTACCTGACATGCAGGGTTTTTTTTATTTTCTAATCATAGTATGTATTTTGGAAAGGGTTTCTTTTTTTTTGTAGGGCAGAATATTGTCTTATCTTAAGTTTGAGACCTTAAAAGGTTTGCAAAGGACATGGAGGTTGCTGTGGTGTCCTCTGATGATTTCAGCTGATCAACTGAATGCTTCCAATCCTTTTATCTGTGAGGGGACTGCAGGCCATGCTGGAAAGCAGGTGTTACTGCAGGGGACTTTTTCTGCTCTGTGCAATGAGTTAGCTTATAAACTCCTAAGGTGAGCATTTTTCTGGTGAATTCAGAAATTGTTGCCAGTGTATCAGAGGCACAAGAATTAACACTAACATTTGGAATTTGCAGTTATCCCACACCTTTTCAGAAGATCAGTAATCTCTGAGAGCTGGCTCCTGTTTGCAGTATCGAGCAGTCAGCTCTGCAGCTGCAGGGTTGTTTCATGTGTTGGTTGGTTTATTTTCCAAGGTTTACAAGTACCATAAACTGTTGCCAAAAGCAGGAGAAATGATGAATAATATTTTTTCTCCCCAATAGCCAAAATTTTGTGTGTGTGTGTATGTTATTGGTATAAACAGCAAGTCTTCTTTTGAGTAGGAATAAGACTTAGTTCCTAAAGACAGTGAATTGTAGCAGACACAAGGTCTAACATTTGTTCTTCTCCCCCCCTCTCTTGTTTTTTCCTAGCAGATAATGCTCATTATTCTGTGGTAAATGATACTCGGATGTTCTGCAGCAGCAGGAAATTCAATGTGTGGGTACTCATTAAAGGGTACATGTGAATTCACAGTCCAAGTGAATGCATCCAGCAACCAGGGCAGCTTGATAAGTGATGCTGTAACAATTGTCAGGCCTCCAGGAGGTGAGTAGGAAAAAGTGCTTTTTCTGTGCATGTAACAATTCCACAAACACTCTGTTGAACAAAATGTTTATTTTCTCAGCTGAGGACTGGAAGTTCAGAAGAATAGGTTTGCAGTAGTAGTTCTTACTAACAAAATTGGTTTTTGGCTTCTAATTTGTCACATGGTTAACTTTAGGAACTAGAGAATGAAAACAGTTGTGTAGTTAACATATTGTGAAGGTGAGAGGTGTATTATGTACTTCATTTTTTTTCCGTGAATGAGGGTGTATTCTATCAGGGACAGATTATCTAGTCCAAGAATAGAGAGAGACTCACCTGCATTTTGGAACCTGTTTTAGAATAGAAGTTGAAAGTACTGACAAGGAGCACTTACTGGATAGACTTAGAGAATTTGTTTCATAACAGTAATATAAATCACTGGCAATATATTGAGCCAGAACCCACAAAGTTCTTTAGTTGTAAGAAAGTCAGTTCCAATGTGCTGATTTACAGTGACTGAGGCTCTAAACCCCTCTGGCTGTTATCTTCATAACAATTGGAAATAAGGGAATTGAGCAAATACACCTCGAACACTGTGAGTGTTTTGTTCTGTGGTTGTGTTTTGGTTGTGTTTTTTTTTTGTCAAGAAAACTTTTCCATTTATAGCTGGTGTATGTGTGTCCCTTTTGCATTCCCTTTTCATGGCCATCCTGGAGAATTAGCTTTGTTTGAATAAATGCCAATGGAAACAATTCATTTAAGAATAATAAAACTGCATCTGAGTTTCACTGCTCCTTTAAGACTGAGCAGTAAGGCAATGTTATTTCTAATTCCAGTGCCACATTTTAATTTTGCTTGGCAAAATTTGGTAGTGAAAATGTTACCAAATGACAAAGTAAAAGATCTTTAAAGATAAGCAAGGACATGCACAGATTTATGAGAGCCATTCAGATGGACTTTCTTTCATCATTAGATTGTTGTTGGTTATAATTATAAAACTTACAGCTCTGAAATTATTGCTTTTAAACTACCACAAGGTCATAAAAAAGATACCTCATTGGTTAAATAGGTTTTAGTTCAAGCTTCCTTTTAGTTAATGCTCTGAAAACATGTTATCCTGATTTGCACATAAAATCCTGCTGAAAAGCATGTGGCATTCCCTGGGATATGTGTGCTTAAGTAGAATTAAATTAGCAGTGAGAGTTATTAAAGAGATCTTCCCTACTATTGTCCATGGACTGTGATCTGTAGTGAAATGAATAATAAATGAAGCAGGGCACATGAGAGAAGTTCTCTCTCACACCCACTGTGTTCCTATTCTGTGCACACACACACAGACACACACGTGTATATCCAGGGCAATGTGTGTTTGCTTTACTGTGATTATCACAATGGCTCTTTAAATGCTCTACAGTTACATTGCATGGTAAATTATGTGTATAATGGTAATTTTACACTGGGCTGTATTCAGTGCCTTCACACTTTATAAATCATTCAGTGAAATCTGGGTGCCACTAAAATATGAAGAAATTTTATTTTTTACTTCAGCGTCCAAGATTTCACTGAGACAGAAGTTTTGTTTGATCAAAGAGTGAGAGAGGTCTCATTAGGTACAAAATCATAACCTTTTAATGAGTGTGAACATGTAGCATTCTCTTTTCAAGGACAAGAAAAAAAATGCTGTTCCAGAAATTTCCATTGTGGGGAGTACTTGATGGAACTGAATGGAAGATTGTACAAAAGGGAGAGTGAAAGAGGACAAAGGAGTATTCCATTGTGAAGTTACTGCTGATCACTGGTTTACAATTATGAGACAATTTTTTTTCCAACATGCATTTCTTTTCTTCTTTTTTTTTTAAATTTAAGACATATTGCATATAATGTAAAGCACACCAAATCCTCAGTGTTACCTGACGGAATGCATCTTAATCTCTTACCAATCTTATTTGCCATGCTTTAAGTCAACACTTGAAAAAAACCTGTTAGAAATAAGGAATTTATTTTATCCAAGCTCTTGACTAAAATTGCAGTGCAGGATCAAGAGTTCTCGGAAAGATTAAAAAAATAAAAACTGAATCCAGATGTTAATCCATAAATATGAAACTTTCTTTTGACCCTTACCCAGCAGTGGTCTGGAGTTCCTGATGGGGTTGGGATTCCAGCTCTTGATGGGACTTGGGGCATTAGTGTTTGGTGTGCATAGAATTCAGCATTCAGTTGAAGAAGGGGTTGACATTGGTGATGTCCCTTAATTTGCTGAAATCGAATTGGTTCTTTTATCAGCCAAACCTGTGTGGATTGGCAGTTGATCAGGAAGGGTCAGCCAGGACTGTGCATGTGCTTAAATGCTGGAACTGCCAGTTAAAGTCACTGTTGCACAATAAGAAGCTGAAACCAAGAGAACAAATGATCTTCAGAGTCAGAAGGCAAAAGAAAGCAGAGAAGCTTTTCAGGATGTTCAAGTTCAGAACAAAGGCATTATGGAGTATATAAATTTTAAATACACTGCTTTTAGCCTCAAGACTTAAAGCTTTTTTTTTCCAGATGAACTGAAATCTTGTCTGAAACTGTCTTTGTTACATCAAAGAACTGCCTGGAAAGCTAAAAGAGATGGAAGAAGCAGAAAAGGACATATTTTAAAATGATTAGTGACAAATTTTATACCGCAGAGGTAGAAGTAAATTTGAGTTTTACGTTTTTTGAAAAGGAATAAATTTACTCTGTTTATCTTGTCCTAAACTGCTTTGGTGGAAGTTGTAAAAAAAATAGTATCCTAGTCAGTGCTTCACATTAATTTGAAGTTGCAAGCAGTAAAAAAATCTGGAAAAAAATTTCCTTAGAATTAATATAATTAGGTAAATGACTTGAAGTGATGCAGAGGTTGTAAAACTGCAAAATTCTGGGAGAAAATCTTCTGCATGACATTCTTGGCTATCCATTTTTCTTCTCAATGAGTGCTATTTCTGATGAGGTGGCAGATAGCAGACCCCACTATTTTAAGATTGCTTTGTAATAAGGGATGGTAAGCTAGCAGAAAATAAATTTGCAATCACTGCTGATAATACTCTACTTAAATCTATTTGTTGCCTTCCTCTGACCGTCAAAGCCCTAAGTATGGAGGAGAATGAGAGGTCCTCTGTGCAGAAAGGAGAAAGATTATGTTGAAAAAATAGGGGCGAAGAGAGATGGCAGAGAAAGACAGGCTGCTGCTCAGATTGAAGCAGGAAGGTGAGGTTCAATCATCACCTACAAGGAACAGAAAAGGACTGGATTCCCAAAATCATAACAAGATATCTATCTAACTTCAGAATAATATAATCTCTAATTCTGATGAAGAGCAGGCTATGTTTTAAACAAAGTTCTTAAATGCAAAATTGTGACCATTTCCTTTCTAGAGGCAGTTTAAGGAGACAGCAGGATAGAGCAGGGAGGAGGAAAGAGCTCTCTTACATCTCTCATCAATGACCCAGCTAATTAAATAGTGTCAGTTGCAAGCTGTGTATTGTCCATTCCAGTTCCTTTTGTCCAGAAAGATGATTTCATGGGGATACAAGGGTAGGATTGCAAAAGTGCTTGTGTGGAAAATTGGGAGTTGTTCTAAAGAAACCAGAATTCTTCTCTAAGCTCTGCAGTGTTGAACTGATTGTCA